GCAAAAAAAATGCTCACCCACCACTATCTCTCTCTTACTTTTTCAATACCCCACCATAACTTTCTCTCTCCTACACAACACTTCTTTATTTATTTATTTCATTTATATTTTAACATTACTCCAAATAAATAAAAACTAGTTTAATTATGTGTAACTTATTTTTTTTATTTTTTTCTTTTTTATCGTTAAAATTTATCGTAAAATTATTTATGTTATTATAAATAATTGTAAAAAAAAGCTCATAATTTTTTATTTATTTTAAAAGCGGTACAATATTAGAGAACAATTAATTTGCAACGTCATGCGCAATTAAACTTAGGAAATAAAAAAAACACAACTACATCGTCTAATTTCTCCCTAATTACGGGGCCCGTATCGTTGCCAAGTATGTTCGACTAAATCACGTTTCAGAGATAGATGAATTTCTCTGTCACGGAGGGAAGCTTTTCGCTGTAGAAATGCGTTGAAGTCAAAGTTGGTAGGTTGGCCTACGTTGAATTCAAACGGTGGCGTTGTAGATGTTGATGCTGGTGTTGATTCTTGTTGATCTTCTTCGTAGAAGGCTCTTAGAACTTCGGCTCGAGTGTAGTTGTGGCGCTCATCTTCAACAATCATGTTGTGCATAATGATACATGCTTTCATTATGTCTCGCAGTATGTCCTCATCGTACGCCAGTGACGGTTTTCGTATTATTGCAAATCGAGCTTGCAAAACACCGAATGCTCTTTCAACGTCTTTTCGAGCAGCAGCCTGGTGGTCAGCGAACAATTTATCTTTTTGAAGTTGAGGGGTTGTGATACCCTGAACAAAAGTTGCCCACTTCGGATAAATACCGTCGGCTAAGTAATATGCCATGTTGTATTCATGGCCGTTAACGGTAAAATTTACCGGAGGAGCTCGACCATGCAGAACCTCATCGAACACTGGGGAACGGTATAAGACATTTAGGTCATTATAAGATCCAGGAATCCCAAAGAAGGAATGCCATATCCATAAATCCTGATCTGCAACGGCTTCCAGTATTAGCGTTGCTTTCTTGTTCCTACCGGCGTACTGCGCTTTCCATGCCGTTGGACAGTTCTTCCATTCCCAATGCATGCAATCAATGCTGCCTATCATGCCTGGAAATCCACGCAGTTCATTTTGATGCATAATTCTGGCCAATTCAGCAGTTGTAGGGTTTCGCATGTACTCGGTTCCGAACTGATTAATGACCCCGGTACAAAAACGTTGAAGAGAAACTCGAGCAGTTGACTCACTGATCCGAACGTATTCATCCACGGCGTCCGCAGCCATGCCGTAGCCTAACATTCTTATCGCTGCTGTACATTTTTGCAGAGGTGATAAACCTAACCTTCCAGCTGCATCCCTACGCTGCTGGAAGTACACATCACCTTCAACGACCTTGTTCATTATACGTACAAACAAAGGTCGTTGCATACGAAATCTTCTTCTAAATTGGGTGGTGTTGTACACGGGATTATCGGAAAAGTAATCATTAAACAACCTGGCATGTCCAATTTCCCTATCTCTTCTATTCGTACCCCCTCTAGGTTTTTTTGAAGAGTGTTGGGATTGTGTTTGGGGCATGAGGACAGATGGGGGTTGGTATGTGAAGAGTTCATCAACAAGTTGGTCATATTCTTCAGTATTTGAAGAAGATGAGCTTGAACTTGAGCTTGATGATGGTCTAGAATACATCTCGTATTACTATTGTTATTTGATGAAGGGGTGTGGTTGTGGATATGTGCCATGTCTACTATATATAGCAAAAATATCAAATGAATATGTGGTTACAAATCTGATTGACCACACCAAGTACAGGAATTAAATTTTCAACCACGGAATAGGTATACTATGCTAGTTGACAGTGACAAGTCTTGAGTGCAATAATGTCGGTATCAATGACACAAAGGTAAAGCATTCTGATAAAGTGAAATCAGAAAAATGTGACTACACAATGACAAAGATTTATTGTAATTATGTCGGTATCAATGACACAAAGGTAAAGCATTCTGATAAAGTGAAATCAGAAAAATGTGACTACACAATGACGAAGATTTATTGTAATTATGTCGGTATGGAAACTTAAATCAACTTGTTAAACAACTTGTCATTCAATATTGGAAAATCAGAATACAAGTGTACATTTTACATTGAGATTAACCACACAACTAATACAACTTAAAAATAAAAGACTAAATTGCGCTTAATAAATAAAAGACTAAAACCAAACATGCTTAAAGGCCTTGTAATTTACCCAGTAAAAAATTCTTGTACGACTCTTCTTCGGGAGTGAGTGGCGTAGGCGAATTCTTCAGAGCTTGCACCATATCAAACCAGGTTTTCATCTTATGAATGTCAAGTTCCTCCCTTTTCCTCTGTTCCTTGTCTTTTTCAATTTTGATCCTCTCTTCCTTCAGAATGGCCTCCCTCTCGCGAATTGTAGCGAATTCCTTCATTCGTTCGCTAAGCTCAGACGAACTACTTTCTGTTGCTACTGCTTTCCCCTTACGCTTCGCCTTTGCCTTCTTGACACCCTCAGGTCGTTGTAAACCGCCAGATGAAAAACCATCCGTAGGGGTTTCATCCTCTACATCATCTCTGGACCTCTTCCCACTTCCAGCACTACCTTCTTCCTCGGCATCACAAGCGGCTTTTCTTTCCTTCAAGGACATTGACCATCTCACCTTCGGTCTCCACTTTGGATCCTTGTTAAGCATTTCAATTGCGTGAGGAAAAGTGAAATTGCGACCTTGGGCGACATGAAAAAGCTTCGCCGCACTTTTCATACGATCAGCTTCATTGTAACCACTCCCTCCCTCCGGAAGTCTACCTGCCTCATCATAGCAATATATCCATTGCAGTGTGTCCGCTGCCAACCTTCTCCAGTGCGACGTGAGACTCTTAATAGGCCTTGGCGGAATTATATGCGGCTTCTGCGTATGCAAAGTTTGGTATGCTGCGTGTACATTGCGCCATAGGGTAGTTGCTTTTTGGCTTGTACTTTTAATAGCATCCTCGCTAATCTGCAAGTACAACCCAATCAGAGCTTCATCTTCCGCCACAGACCAAATACAGGTAGCTCGTGCAGGAACCTGGTTGGGTTCCAACAAGCGCACTGGTGGAGGAGGATACTGCGGCGTCTCTGGTACGCTTTCCTCTTCGCTCTCATCGAATAGTGTGTTACTACCAAGATCAGTTTCAGGTGTACGATCTTCATTAGCAGGGTTTTGTTGGGGAACCTCAGTGGGTGTCTGATGCAGTGGAGGTGGTTGCGTCGACATATTGCCCATTCTTTGCAAGAACAACTGAAACTCGGGATTAGTTAGGAAATCATCACTAAAACCCGAAAGTTGTTGACGGAAATTTGGGTTGTTTGGATCCATTAAAATATTCTGCACCAAAAAACAAAAGATCAATATCGTTACAAACATTTACTCAAAAAACAAATTAAAATGATAACAAATCCAAAAAAATATCAACAACTTTCTTCAATTGCATAATGCAATAACATTACATGCCATACAAAATAACATATATACTAATTTTAACACATAACTACAGGTACATGTTAAAGAAAATAATTAACCAATACTTGCAACACTTTAAGAACATGTACATAATGCAATATAATTTCGTGGCCTATAATTTTTTTTTCAATAAAATCACATATATACTAATTTTATTAAGTTAATACATTTATATATAGCAACAAAAATTTACCATTAATTAATTGCAACAACAAATTCAGAAATTTATGGACAAAATATAAACAACTTTCTTAATAATTACATATTGCAAATATAATTACATGGCCTAAAATATTTTTTTTTTTTAAAAAAAATCACATATAATATACTACTTATATTTAACTGATTTTAAAAATTAAATAATTTTTTTTTTACCTCAATATAGATGAATTGCAATAGCAATATTCTTCTACAAAATTAAAATACTTTTAAGAAAATTAAAATTTGGAGGATTTTAAGGTGTTTTTGAAATTGTATCAAAATATATCAAAATGCATGTCTATTTATAGAGAATTTAATTTTATGACCGTTGGTAATTTTTTTTTTTTTTAACAAAATATATTTTTCTGAAAATGGGAAAAACATAAATAACCGTTGTAAAACGGCTAGTATTTTCTGATTGGTTGTCTTGCTGCCAGCTGCCACGTGTCGCGTCCTCATTCGCCAGCGAACTGCACGCGTCAGCTTCCCTTTTTTTTTTTTTTTTTTTCTGATACTCAAAACGACGCGTTTTGAGGCGCGCCTTTGAGGCAGCTTCATCAAAACGCGTCGTTTTGATGTTAGAGTCAGCTTTTTTTTTTATTTTTCTGACGCGTGTGGGGCCCACTTGCAACACTGTTCATGGCAAAAAATGCTCAACTTTTGAGCTTTTTAATAAATGCTCATGAGCATTTTTACCTATTTTTCATTTTACTCACCATTGTGAGTTGTGAGCATTTTTTTTCCTCACAAAAAATGTTCATGAGCTAAAAAAACTCTCACCATTGAGAGTGCTCTAAGAAGTATATACTAATGTGGATTTCAACTTTTTATATATGAATAAATCATAACTCACAAACCCTATTATGTTATTATTTGGGGCTTAATTGCTAGAATTTAAATCTACAATTCGCGTTAAAAACTTTGGAACACTAGTACTCCCTATATATATATATTTATTGATTTAGATAAGATAGATTTTAATGACTATATAATTTCCACTAATTTAATACTAAGTAAGGCAAGATTATGTCACAGAAACAAGTGTTTATTTATATTATAAAAACGTACAAATGCTAAAAGAGTGGGATCTAATCACACCCTTAAACATCATGTACTACATAGAAACTACAGATTAAACGAAAAGCTAAAGAGTGAAAGACAACATCACTCTTCTTACTACTGTTACATTTTATTCATCCAACATTTTTAGCTACCATGCATACTACTACGTACTCTGATCACTTTTTGATTGTTTTTTTTTTCTGCTTAAAACAATCCAGTGAACTCCATGAAGGAAGCCAACATAGGGTGCCTTCGGAACTCTCTTTCGCACCTCTTTTCGCATTCGAAACCTTGTCCTTGCCTCTGGCATCTTTGCTGGCATTCACGGAACCGGCGTTGTTGCTGTGGGTCATGATGGCGAGGGTTCTCGTCTTCGTCTTCATAGCTTCTTCCTTGGCCTCTCTCTTGTTGTCTTCGGAACTCTCTTTGGCACCTCTGCTGGCACTCGTGTCCTTGTTGTTGTCTCTGGCACCTCTGCTGGCATTCCCTAAGGCGTTGTTGTGGCTGATCACGGTGAGGGTTGTCGGATTCCTCATCGTCTTCTTCTTGGTAGCGTCTTCCTTGGCCTTGCTGCCTCTCGAACTCCTTTTGGCACCTCTGCTGGCATTGATATCCTTGTCCTTGTCTCTGGCACCTCTGCTGGCATTCCCTGAGGCGTTGTTGTGGGTGTTCACGTTCACGCCTGTTCTCGGTCTCCTCTACATCATCTTCGTCTTCGTAATGCCTTCCTTGGCGTCTCTCTTGCTGCCTTTGGAACTCCTTTTGGCACCTCTCCTGGCATTCAAACCCTTCCTGTTGCCTCTCGCATCTCCTTTGGCATTCCCTGAGTCGCTCTTGTGCCTGTCCACGGTGGGGGTTGTCAGATTCCTCTTCGCTATCGCGGCTTCCCCTTCTTTGCTGCTGACACTTCCTTAGACACTCAAATTTCTGACTACCCCTTTGCCTATCACACCTTTGTTGGCACTCACGGTAACTCCTATCATCCTCGCTGTCTTCGGAGTCGAACTCGTTATCACCCTCATCATCAGACTGCCTACCTCTTTGCTGCCTCTCCCTACGCCTAATCCTCTCATCAACACACCTCTTCTCACACTCCCACTCCCTTGCAACATCACCGCGCCTAGCTTCGCCCCTGCATTCTCTCTGGCACTCCTGCAAGTACTCCTGAGGGTCGCCACGACGAGGATTAATCATTGCGTCTAGCAACTCCTCATCGTAACTACTACCCCATTGACCTCTCTCCCCCTGCTGCCTCTCCTTGTAATCCTCGTGACATTCTTGGATACACTCGTGCTGCTCACGGCCGTATGGCTGCCTCTGGCAGTGCTGCATGCACTCCCTCAGCTCATGCCGTGGGTCGCGCTCATGGTGGGGGTTAGGCAACCGGATAGCCAACGTTGAAGTTAGGAGAACCGAAAGGAAAAGGAAAAACAAAGGTGTTTTGGACTTGAAATTCATGATGATGAACTCAGGTAGGCTTATATTACTGATTGTTTGATATTGTGATGGATGAAATTGAAGTGCAAAATCACTAACAATTTATAGTGAACATGAAGTTACAAACTTACAAAAATAGTAATAACACTTGGTGCAAGAGTTAGCATGCAAATTGACGAGTGTTTTAGGGGGTAAAATTGAGGTGTCGAATTTAGGAAGAAATGGAGGACAGCAATATGTATGTAGCTAGAGCTGATCACGAGCTCGCACGCCGCGTATTGCTTGAGTGGGGCATAGGATACTAAGAATTGGGATTTGGGAATTTGGGATAGTGACAAAAGTAGTGAGTTTTTTTAGTGGAAGTGTTGCATTGATTTCTTTATTTTGGCAGTAGTGAATCGAAGAAAGGATTATATGCTACCAAAAAGGTTGGCACCCGTCATCTGATATGCGTGTTACATCTCCTTTTGGAATTGCATATAACTTGATTGTTATAAGTTTATTAGTGTAATACTTGATCATTTGATTTACAAACATACGGGCGTTTTTAATTCTAATTAAAATTTTATTATGAGATACGCTTTATCATTATTTGTGATTTACATACGAGGAAAAAACATTATTAGTTTTTATTATAATAAACGATTATTTATACTAATCCTCAAAGTTATCAATATAGTTATATAGATAATGAAAAGTAAAGGGTAACTACCTTTGTGAAATAGGGGTGTATATGTTGAGCTTAACAAATTAAACTACTGCGAAGTACAAGATAATGAATATATATGGTTGTAGGGGGGTTAGTTCATTATGGTATATGTCAAATTTCACCTAAGGGCTTGCATGCTTAATAGTGTATTGTAAAGGGAATTACGTAGTGATGGTGTGACCGTTGATTAGACGTAGTGAAATCACTACCCTTATTTGGGAGAAATATGCGAAGTATAATATATGCTGAGAGTGGATGGGTAACTATTCTCCTCGTTATTATGAGGCTTATAGTTTTTCATCTCTCTCTTTTCCTTATGTATTATTCTACTGTTCATTTGTCAATTTTTTTTTATTTCCTGTAACATCACCACTAATCCCTTATATCTTTTTAAAGATTTGTTTTTATATTATTAATCCTTTACCAGGATTGTCATAATTAAATTTATCGGATACATTGTTCTAATGATCATATGAGATGCCCCTAAAAAATTATAAATGTACAAAGGATGGATTATATATATAAGTGTAAAAGTGGTGAGCACCAATTGAAAATTAATACAACTAGCTTAGTGTAAATGAAGAGTAAACTTTAATGGTTGGTCAGAGCGTAGCAATGATCACAAAACCAATTGATAAAGATCGAATGTAATTAAATTGGGTGTGATAATCCAAATCATTCAACGTCAGGTCTTTGACAATGAAAACTCGTTCAGATCAAAGTCAGAACCACTTAATTGCACCATCTATCTCAGGTACCAAATACAAATCGATCTGCTGTGCAACATCATCACCAGTTGCATATATTTGCTCGCATGTTGTTCTAACACCTCCTCCAATGTTACAAACCCTTTCTTAATATGTGTTTAGCCTAAGCCTTCTTCTCGTTGGACCCAAGTCTGTCTTCAATATATTTTTGCACTTTTATACTTAAGATTAAGAATGGCAGTATATTTGAGGCTACCAAGTTTGCAACCTATTAATTCATCATGCATTTTCGTTTGAACTCAAAAAAATCTACTAGGCTTCATTGAGTTATGTTCATACGCTCCACGTAAAAAATTCAATCGTTGTTACTAGCTAAGACATACAAAGCAATAAGTTGAGAATCACATGGTTAGTTGAGATGAACTACAACAAGAGGGGAGGTGATTTGTAGTAGGTTACTAAGTGCCTACTTTTCGCGGAAATTAAAACAAACTGACAGGAACTTGAAAACACACAGCGATATTTACGAGAAAATCTTCTAGCTTAGGGGCCTAACTGGAAGTAAAACCTCAATCACAAGGGATTTTAAACACACAATCAATTCACAATAATAGGCCAAACACTCCAAGTCACAACCTACTATAATCAGACGCTTCTCACAAGTTCCAACCTGAACTTGCTACCCGATAGGACCTTATCCAGCCCAACCTAAGTTCTGACTTAAGTTCCACTCAATACTCATGAGTACAAATCTCACATCTTCACACACGAAGCCCACTCATTGTGTATTCAATATAGACTAACACCCAAATCCTAAAACAATACAATAGTTAAAGGTTCGTTTGGCATCGCTGTAGTTTTCTGTTTTTTGGTTTTTTTTTTTTAATTTTTTAAGGTCATATGATATATGTAGATGATGAATTCAAAATTAGTCAAACTTATCAAAATTATAAAAATTTTGAAAATTGGCAACAAAAAAGTGGAAACAAAATTTTCTTATTTCCTGTTTTTGGTTTTTGGTTTTCCAAAAAACTAAAAACAAAAAACGATGCGAAACAAGCCCTAACTCTAATATGTGATTGGAAAGCTGCACATGAAACCTGAAACTAATATGATAAAGCTCTTAACATTGGCAAACTTACTCTTAATTGCTCTTGAGATTATCACGCATAAAACTCACACTTTACTCGGAATATGAATCTCTTATTTATAGAAGACATTCATATACCAAGTATGGTTTTTATTAAAAACATAAACACTAAATAAATCAAAAGAAAATCCTTTTAAATACCGAGTAGAAATGCATCATTTAATAAAATCTTTTGCAAAACCGAATAAGGATTAAGTTTAGAAAAAAGATAAGTAATTTGTAAAACTGATTTTATAAGATAAAATCATTAATAAATCTTTTTCATAAACATAAAACCTATCTTTTATAAAGCTTCTGAATTTATTAGCTTGCCAAATCTTATCACGTCTCTAATAGGTTTCATGCATAATAATGTATCACATATTCAACTGTAGGGTTTCGTAGTGACCCGGCACTACGCGGAAGGAAACCCACCAAGATCCGCCCCTTAATTAAAGCAATTAAACAAGCATAATAAACTTAATCAAACAAGATTAAGAACAAGAATTATACCTTTGACGCGTGCTTCGCTCCCAAAGAGCTCTTACTTCAAAATCCCGAAAAGACGAGATCTCCGCCGGATCGTACCCTCGACCCGACCCGAGCGTCCTAAGTCTTGAAGGTTAGTCAAGACCCGGACAAAAGAACTATGAGTTTTACGAATCAAAGGTTTACTCTTTTCTTAGAGTTGCCTTTTTAATTCCACTTAAGGTTATATTCTCAAAATCCCAACCAAGTGGGTATTTATAGAGAATGGGGACTTGAAACCCCTTTTCATGATCAATGTGGGATCATGTGCAATTGCAATAATTTATTTAATTCTAAAATAAATAATTATGCAAAACAATCACAAGCCAACAAGTGGCAAAAGGAGAGAATGGGTTAGGTGAGGACCATATCCCATGGGGGGACCATTGCCTTGCTCCCCAAGGGAAGCTTGGTGGCTTTGGTCCCCACTTCTCCTCAAACCGCCATTTGCAAGGCAGCTAGGCTGGCTGCCACCTGGCGCTGCCAGCACGCACAACCACCTAGCATGCTTGGCTGGCGCACCATGCATCACCCAGCCCAGCACTTGCGTGCTGCTAGCGAGCCACGCCTTGTGCTGGGCGCTGGGCGTTGTTGCCTTGCTATCGCAGGCACACGCACACACATATGTGTGGTGCTGCTGTCTTGCTATCGCAGGCGCACACACACGCATGTGTGGTGCTGCTGCCTTGCTATTGCAGGCACACGCACATGCATGCGTGGCTCTCGCATAGCCAGCAAAGCCAGGCCAGCATACGCATTGCCCTAGCCAGCCAGCACCACTCGCCCCGTGCTCGCACAGCTACGTGCATCCAGGCCAGCACGCACTAGCACTGTGCTTGGTGCGTGGCCTGCGATGGTGCCTAGCACACACGCAAGGCCAGCGCTGCCTGCCAGCTAGCTGTTCTTGGTGCATGGCTTGCGATGGTGCCTAGCACACACGCAAGGCCAGCACTGCCTTGCCAGCTTGCTGTGCTATGGTGCACACGCACACGCACACATGCACATGTGCCTAGCACAGCGATAGTGTTGTGCGTGGTGCTAGGGGGCTGTGATGATGCTCACACTTACGCACATGCACATGGGTGATGTGCTTGGTGCAATAAGGCTGCGATAGTGCCCATGAGCACCCAGGCACCCAGGCTAGCACGCTGCTAGCTGCGATGGGTTGCCTGGTGCTTGTGGGGCTTGCGATAGCTGCCATGCGCACCCAGGCACCCATGCTAGCATGCTACTAGCTTGCGATGGGCTGCCAGGGCGCGCCTAGGCTGCGATAGTGCCTAGCACACCATGGTGCACCTAGCATATACATGGTGCGCCTAGGCTTGCGATGAGCTAGCCTAGCCTAGCTACGGCTACGCTCATACTTGTTGCTTGTGATTTTGCGACGCTCGGTCTCGACGCCCTAGGCTCGATTTCCGACGTCTGTATTCGTAAAACTCTGTCGACTCATTAAATCCTTTCGGATTAATTCGTCGTCTCGGATCGGAGATTCGATTAGGTTCGACCCGAAGGGTTCAGTTAAGATTAAGCTGTAATATCAATTGTACCTTGATATTACTGATCGAAAGCGGCCTCCACCTAGGCATTCCGATCACTTGACCTTACTGAAGAATTAGCTCTGTAATAATTCTAAACACTCTATTGGAAGAATACACTTGTTGGAAGGATACCATTCCTTTCAATCTCCCACTTGTCCTTCCGGACAAGTGTGAATACAGTGTATAGCTCATTTCCTATGTCACTTAATGTTTCTTCGTGAACTATAAGGTAAGATTCTTTGTCATCCTTATTACGTTCAGAAGTGTTTCTCGATCTCCAAGTTCGACTGACAATAAGCAGATGATTTCTAAAATCCATCTTAGTACGGCCATGCATTTTCACAGTCTCACTTTTCGAGCGGCCTTGTAAACAACAAAACATTTTCCCTATTGTTAGTAGGGGGACAATC